GGAACCGATTCACTTTAATGAATAAATGATCAGCGTTCCGGGGAAAACGGAACGGCACTTCTTTAACAGTTCACTTAGAGCTGTTTTAGGGAAGCGTGTCAAAAATTTGATTCTTCTTAATGAAAACACAAGCATTCTTTACTTTATTATTAACCAGAAACGTATCTGACCTATTTCTATGTGTCTATGTGTGCTTTCGGTTTGCTTGTGTTCCATCTAGAATTTAAAAAACAAAACATTAACTAAACCGACGTATCTCAGCCAAATTGACCACCTCTGTATGTAAGTGGATGGCTGTCTTTCCCATCTGGCAGTCTGTTTAAAGTACATATATCATAGGAACTAGTTCCTCGGATTTCCAACTGGCCCTTCGGAGTAGTAATTATTCGTTCTTTTCATCGCTCTTGCTCTAGCCGCAAATCTGGCTCCTGCGAGATCTTGATTATTTGCTCTTTTCGCTTCCTTGGAGTTGTTCCTTTGAGTTTCATTTTGATTCTTTGAATACAGTGTCATAGCTATGTTCAATAATAAATTATATTTTTATTTATTTACTATTTTACTAGCATCTTATAATCAAGAGTTGTGAATTTCTGTTTAAATCTCCTTTTGAATTAGTACATATTTATAAACATAATTTTTTCCACTTAATTTATATTATCAAGGTTGAGGAATAAAATGTAGACCCTACCAAATAGAAAAACCTCGAGCGATACTTGGTATTATTTTATGAAATTAGATAAAAAAATCTGATGTGTACACCACATGACTTCCTTATACGGAATATTAAATTATGCGCATTTTTCTTGCATTTCATTTAAACTTATTGGATGATTAAATTACTTCGCCGACAGCGCATAAACGACAATAGAATAATGCATTCTTTAAAATTCACTCTAGTATTTGTTTACCATAGCGACACTCTGGCGCTAGATTCATTAAAATTATTACTGTAACTAAATTTGTATACTGTCAGTTTGCGCGCAGTGCTTCATACAAATTTTAAATTTTCGGAAACACAGTTAGTTTTTTCTTTATAAAAAAAATTCTTATACACTATTAAGTAAATAATCAAGAACGATAATCATCTATGTATAAAGATGACACCTGAAAATTTCATATATGTATTACAAAAAATTTGACTTATTAAAACTCGAAAATCAGCTAAATTCTCACTTTTTGTGTTGCGCAAAAGTGATGACTCCCCTTCAGTATTATATTTCTTCATATTAACTCATAATGCACAAAATTTATATAATTTAAAGAAGAGAATTATTAATCGTTGCCACATGTTCTTTCAAATACTATAATAAGCTAGAATGATGTATAAAGAAATTAGCAAACAAAAAAAAAAAGAACAGTTTTTCACAGACGATGGAGTATTTCTCATTTAATTAATTCAGTTCTCACTTCGCGAGAATGCAAAAATACATAAAACTCAAAATATCTATATTAAAATTCGAGGTAAATCTCAAACACTTATTTCCTCGAAAAATTCCAGAAAGAATTAAGCATGATTTAATTGGCAATAATAAATGAATGCGTTATTCTTTGTTGTTGCGAAGATAAGTTTCTCTAGATTGGCAACAAATCCACTAGTCTCCTGTTTCAAATGTAAACATCAATGGCCGCCATTAAAACAGGCTTAGCGGCAATTAAACAACTTTAAAATTGCTGATAATTCTAAAAATATTGCACACAGAATTTACTAAGGCATAAAATCCTTAACCGGAAGATAAAAACAACATAATTCAACCATTTTTAAAGCAAAAAATGTACAATTTACAAACATATAAGAGTAAAGAAACTGAGATCACTGAGCACGGTAAAAGAGTGGATATATATATAAATCTATTTATATACGTTTGGTGCGGCCGATTGTAACCAAAATACGAGGTGCACATCTACATGTTATAGCAGTCATATATACAAAATTTCAACGTTCTGAGGCTACTCGTTTTTGAGTTATGCGAGATATGTACGTACGTACGTACGCACGTACGTACATACGTTCGTACAGACGCCACGAAAAATTCTCTTCAGAATTAATTTTAAAGCAGTTTTATAATTTTTTTGAAGGAAAAAAGTATTTTATTCTGTCCTTACGTACAGATATCACGCAAAAACATCGTTAAATTGCATTCGATAGCGGTCAAAATGAATATTTTCGTTGAAATATGCTGCCTGAAACTTTTCGCGATTACAATACTTCCTTTTTACTTCATACAAGGAAGTAAAAATGAAATTGCAGGTATTTTCAGGAGACATTTTCCTGTTCTTTGGGATCTGCCTCCAATCTAAAAATTTATTTTTACACTGTGCTTTTTAATAGCAACTGAATATCAGTTATAATAATATTGTAATCTTTAACAAAAGTGAGTTTTCATTAATTTTTAACTTAAGCATTTTTTTAAATTTCAGAATTTTATTGTTGTTCTGTGTAGAAAGGTTTTTTTAGGGAACCCCAAAAGATCAGTTGAAAGAAATCAGTCCAGGGAGTGAGCGGTTTATTTGAGTTACTTCCAGCGATAGCGAGACGCAGTCCCGTAGGCGATCAGTGAGTTTACTTTTAGTTCTCTAAGAATCTCTGTTGACTACGAGTGTGATTCCTTTGGGTTTCACAGGTAATTGTTTCTTTTTATAAGACACCCAACACCGATGAGGATATTAGCAATGCAATTATATGGACTCTGAACGAATTACTTTATCTCAACGAGGAATTTCTGAAAGACCCCGACTCCGGAAAAAAGGCAAAGCAAGAAGGAGAAAGCAAAGCCTGAGAAAGAGGTGATGGGATACCGAAAAAGTCCAAGAAGAAGAAATACAGGAACTTATTCAAAAATTTGGAGTTCATTATGTGAGGCGTCACCTTGAGTTCGAAAAAAGATTGAGGGAAGCCAAATCCCCAGAGGAAACAACTAGACTTGTGACGGAACAGATTAGGGAAACCTCCGAACATTATGAAAAGAGACAGCTTATTGAACAAATAAATAATAATCCCTGTACGGAAGGAGACTGGACCACGCCAAAGAAGACTTCGAAAATTAAGGAAAATTCTGAACCAATGGAAATTCCCCAAGAAAACTGTTTTCAATTACTCAGAAAAATTTCAGAGGAAAACGATGAAGGAGGAGGCAAAGCTGAAGTCCCAGCCCCACCTATTGTATTTTCACACGAAGAAAGCGATTGGATGCTACTCGACGAAATGTTCACGAAAAACTGCACAGAGCCCCATGAAAGCCAGATGAGAGGAAAATCTATCTTCGCTTATGCCAAGACTCTGAATGATTACAGTAATATCAACGAACTACTACTAGAAAAGAAAATTCCTCACCATTCTTAGCAGTTTGACTATGAAAAGCCGATACGCGTTATTATGAAGAACCTCCCCGCTTTTGTAAAGGAAGAGGTTATATAGCAAGACCTGAAACGCAGGAACTATACGACCGAGAAAGTTAAACAATTTTCCGAGCGCCGTTATGGAGAAATAATAAAACTTCCCATATTCTTACTTGAGCTCAAGAGAATCACAGAAGGAAACCAGATCCACCAGTTAAACATGTTTAGTTTCAATGCTACAAGAGAAAAATTCAACCCCAGAAAAAGACCAGCGCAATGTTTCCATTGCCAGAAATTCGGCCACTCCCAATTTTATTGCAGTAGCTCCGTGAGATGTGTAAAGTGCGGGAACCAGCACCGAAGTATTCAATGCACCATGATACCCGAAGATAAGCCTACATGTAATTTCTGCGGACAAAACCAAGTGAGCAGCTACAGAGGTTGCAGCGAATACAAGAAAAAAATTGAAAAGAAAAGCGTCCCACCGCAGCCTAAAGCACCCGAATTCGCTAAGGAAAATTTCCCTAGTACGAAAACTGCTATTAGCCCAGTTTAGAAAAACCTCCCTTAAGTCAAGTATAGCGACAAACGTAAAGGAAAAGTTACTCCCCCTCCGAAAGGGCTTAAACGATGCAATCAAAGACGAAAAAAATCAACGCATTCCTTACCTCTGTCGTTTCATTCATTGGTAAAATCAGATCTGCAAAAAATTCAGCCGAAAAACTAGAACTGGCTTCCAGGTAGAAATGATACTCATTCAATTCGCTGAAACAAGGGATTAGAAAAGTAAATGCATGCGATCAGCGACAGACCAATAGGAATGCAGACAGTGTAAAGCAGCTAAATTTTCAGACTTCAAATTAATTCTATCTTTTCCTTTTCAGTTCTTTCATTTCCCTTTTAGTACTTTCTTTTCCCTTTTAGTTCAGCAGCAGTCTTACTGTCATCCTTTCCGGAATAGCTTCGTTAGTTAATGCGACGACTTATCTATGCGTCATCGTCAATTTTTAATTCTCAATCAACATCTCTCTACGTTATGTCAGGAAATATTTGTCATTTCTCCACACGTTGCATACAGGACGTGGCTTCTAGCCCAGGCGCCTGTTTCCATGTGTGTCTAGCACCTGAGCCTTCAGTGAGTGACCGGTTCCAGTCTGATCCCTTAAATGAACGGTTTTGCCCATTTCAATCTCCGAAGAGGGTTGAGGTTATCCTGTCTTTGGGTTAGAGTAGCATCCGTTCCTTTGAGATTAAACCCCTCTGGGATTCTCCATTTCTGCCTTATACGAAGAAGCTCGCAGTGGATCTAATCGTCCGGAACACATTGTTATAATTTATCAAAAGGGAGGAAATTCAAATTGAAAGAAAAAAGCTCAAGGACACGCCAGTAGATTCAGAAAAAAAAAAAAAAAAAGAGGTGGAGAAAGAAACTTAGACGAGGCAAAAAGTAGATAAACAGATTAAACATGGATTGCATTGGCTAAAGAAAAATGACTTGTAATGCCAGATTATTATGCTTAGAAGTTATATAAAATCGTACAGGACTAGAAATGAATTAATTTCTTCATTCTTATAGCAGGGATGTAGGTTATGTTTAAATACAAGAGAAAAAGAAATTTATGATCTCCATTTTCACAGTTTAACATATATCAAATTTCACTTACTTATCATCACCATCCGAAAATTCATCGCTAGCTATAGCTGCAGAAACTGTCGTCATGACAGCTGGAATGCCTGAAGAGATAAATACTAATATCAGAATGCCATTTATTAATGTAAAAGCGGTAATGGCAACTGAGCAACTGCGTTCATTAGCATTTTATATACAAAAAATAAATAATATAATTTTAAAATGAATAATATAATAAATATATTAATTTAATATTAAGTAATTAAAATTAATGTATTAAAATTAATAATATAATTTTAAAGTGAAAGAAAAGTCTATCTAATTTGTTCTGATCACCTGTTGTGAGATTACTAGAATATCGCTGTACTTTGCGCTATTTGTATATCGATTTGGCAGTATAAAAATATAGCGCAAAATCTGCATATTTTTCAGGAGATTTGATTTGATTTCTCTGCAAGGTATTCAGAGCGAAACAGATTACTTTAGGCCCTCATCTGTATGGACTTTTCAGATTCTTTCCTCAATAAAAAGGAAATTATTGTCACACATTTGTATTCTTGTAGGAGAGTTATCTTCAAATAATGAAATAGCATTGGCATAGCATCTGAATTTCGTAAAGCTGTTCTAAGATATTGCTTTTGGGACAACCTTCAGTGACTTGGATAAAGAAAGCTTCTTAAATTATTATTATTGAGGACCCTGTTACTGTTACTGACGATTGGTAACAAGTATATTATCAAAATATGGCTATAAATAGGAAGATTTATGTATACTGTGAAACCTTATTCATTTGTAGAAGAAATATATATATATATATATATATATATATGATCTCTTGCTCAGTTGAAGAAAAGGTTTATAAGTAAAAAGAAATATCAATTACAATAGGATCCACGCACTTAATTTCAGTCTGCATTTAGGATATCGGGCCAATATCAAACGGTATCAACTCACTGGCATCAGGGCAAGCAAAGCAAACTTTCCTTGCTAGAGTAGGATCTAGAAAAGTTTTGTCTTATGAGATTTGTCTTATGAGTTTTGTCTTATGAGATATTAGCGATCTTATTTCCTGTTCAATACCGTGCATTCAGTATTGAAATCTGCTTTACAGAAACCATTTTACTAAAATATCTATATAATACTTCACGAGTCACTAAATCACTAAATATTAAGAGAAATGCTTGAGTATTAAAAGAAAATGCAGTAAGAATTAACCATGAAAGAAGCTAAATGAAAAGGTCAACAGTGAAAGTTTATTAATTATGTGTGTTTAAAAGTTCATATGAGATAAGACTTACCAAAACCAAAAAATATAAGACTAAAAGGTGAACTGGGACTGCAACATCCAGGTACAAACTCCTTAAGAACAGAGCACATACGTACACTTTCCAAAAGAAGGAAAAGGAATGTTCCTTGGAAGAAGAATTGAATAAGAACACAGACGGCCACACATAACTTTGGGCTAGAATTTACACATGCCTGGAAAAATCAACAGAAACATTTCAGCAGCACTAAAAATATTTCATCAGTATAGATATTAGGGTGGAGTGAAAAAGGAAGAAAAAAATTTTTTTCTCAAATTTTATTATTTCCTAACCCAAAAAATGGTTCTGTTGGATGAAAAATCTAAGTACAAAATTGCAGCTCAATCGCTCATCATCTTTAGGCTCTGCATGAGGTAAATAAGAAAAATCAATCTTAATGTTAATGAAAACATAAAACTATATGTTAACAATATTTTTTTACATTTTTGTTTCCTGACTCAACTTATGGTTGTAATTGGTAAAACAAATACCCGTAAAAAATGTCAGCTTAATCACTTGTCATCCTCAGGTTCCACCAGAGAACCAAAGAAATTCATCTCGTTGCCGAATTTCGTAACTTCGTTCAGGGACTTATTCGACTGCGTATGAATCTATCTCTGCACCACATGTTTCCAACGACGCTTCTGCCAACAGCCTCGCATGCCTCTCTTGGTAAAACAAATACCCGTAAAAAATGTCAGCTTAATCACTTGTCATCCTCAGGTTCCACCAGAGAACCAAAGAAATTCATCTCGTTGCCGAATTTCGTAACTTCGTTCAGGGACTTATTCGACTGCGTATGAATCTATCTCTGCACCACATGTTTCCAACGACGCTTCTGCCAACAGCCTCGCATGCCTCTCTACTATTTGAGAATAGCAAGGGAACCTTCCTAGTATTTCAAACTGACAACCGCTTCTTATCAATCTTATATCTTTTTCGCCGAGGTTCAAGGTAGCCAGTGGTTACAAGAATAGGGTGGTTTCAACGAATCATCTCAAAATACTCCTCTGCTTAGGTGGATTTTTTGCTTATTTGTGCTTCCTAGATTTTCCCCTTCCAGTCATTGTCTATTGTTCAGGCCAAGTTCACGAATATATGCTCGTTTAACCTCCAGTATCGCCAGCAGGATGTTTTCAGTGCGAACAAAATAACAGTTCCTCTGAATAGCTTTGTGGACGATTGCCTTAAACTTTTCTAGCAAATAATGAACTTTTCTTGATCATTCCGTGATTCCATACGTGTTCTATGTGTTGCTCTCGATATTTTCTTTATTTCGAAGTAGTATGGCACATAAACTTTATAACATATTCGGCTGGTAGCTTCAATTCGTCTGATGGTTCGGCGGTTGATACATAAAGGCGAAGAATTCTGTTGGCTGTAGTGAGCCATCTTCAGAGGACAATCATCCCAGGACTCCTGCTTGCTAAATCTGAAGGACACTCCTCCTAGGATATTGCCTTAGAAAGATCAAGGATGTATGATCAGTACTAAGGTCTTTTTTTATTAATTCAGGATAGATCAACAATAATAGGGACATAACCTGTCATGGGAAGGATTTCCCATGTTTTCACGGATTTTCCTATTGTTCCAGAAAGCTATGGTGGCCCATATGTATTTCCATCAACCTTCTGGAAAGCATGACGAAGAGGCTATTCATTGGTGTGCAACAAGGATACAAACCAAAGCAGTTTATGACCAACAAAGATCTCAAAATGTTCCACTTTCAGTTGACGCCATTTTAGTCACTCATAAACAATAACTGATAAAGCAAAATTGACAAAACACACTGAACAGCCATTTAATTAACAATAAAAAGCATATATTTAAATATAAAAATAATTTTAAAATATAAAATAAAAATATTCGTTGAAATATCATGAAAGCCACGTGATTGCTTATCCCAAGCTAGAACTAATAGTCAGATTGGAACACGTTCTGCATCTAGTAGCATATTTTTGCATTAAATTTTATATTTTGGCGTGAGAAGCAATTTTCGCGCCAAAGATGGCGTTGTCAAAGGAATTCTTAAAAAAAAAAAAAAAAAAAAAAAAAAAAAAAATTCACTTGAGATGTGGAACCTCAAAATGTCAATATTTTGGGCTGAAATTCGAACACAATTTGTTTTAGCCCATTTGGAACCGTATATGAATCAGGCAATATGAATTTTTTTAAAAAAGGTTTTTTCGCTCGACCTTAGTTGCTATATATGTATTGTTGCAACAGAATGTAACGCTTTGAATCACAACTACAAGAACATCTTACAAAGCTACTTGGTGTATCTCTACAATGAAATATGTGCTTCTAGTGCTATGTATCCGAGGAAGCAAGATATTGCTACATAAATTTTCGTTAGAATGATGATATCTTGCGAAGTAGCAGTCAGTAGTTTGTTGAATTCAGTTAACAATAGATATTGACGATTATGCTCCTTACACCATTTGTTTAACTGTAGCTTTTGCCGAAGAAAATTTAAAACTTTAAACATCACTTGACAATCGTCAAATTTTTATGAATAAATATGAGTAACATCGGGAATGTATTCGTTAGTTTTTCATCTTCTTCAAGTTCTCACGTCTCATATTAAATTTACGAATGAAGGACATCTGGAAATGTATTTTCGAACTGACGAATGAAGTGCAAGTAGAAATGATGGTTGGAAAGAAGTTAACTTACTTCATCAACACTATACGAATGAGCAGAAGATACAAGTATGCATAAATAAGCTGCCAAAGTAGAGATCTCAGAAAATATTTGAGCCAAGCAATCCAGGTACAGCATCCTTTAAAACAGAGAAAACTCAATGAGATTGGAATTCCAGTACTCATATGATCATAATCTCTTGTTTTGAACACTAGTAATTTATAGAAAAAGCATATATTTAAATATAAAAATAATTTTAAACTTGTAAATGAGAAAGGAAATAACCGACAGAAGATTTTGATAAGTGGAAGAGCAATAGTTCTCTTATAAAGTCTTATAATATGAAAGAATCTTTAAGCTTTTTGTAATTAATCCCAAGAACATTCGTCCAAATATTGCATGATTTAGTTGAACATAGTCTAGACCAGCGCTTCTCAGCCGGTGGTACGCAGAGAAACAAAGTATTTTTAAATATTAAATTCTAAAATTAAACACCCCAACATCCTGCTTAAGGTTTTTCAATGCTCGTAAATTTATACTGTCTGAGCTTTGTTCAAAGTCAATAGCCGCTCGTAGACTTTAGCAAAACAATCCGTTTTTATTTTCACAAATATTCTTTTAACCGCAGACATAAGAAAATTGTCATAGATTAAGTCTTAAAAGGAGTCTTAGAAACAGATGTGTAATGCAATCTTTATAATAATAAAAGCAAGTGTAATGTGTCTGTCTGTCTGTCTGACCGAGCTCTCCAGCCAAATCTATCGCACGCAGGGACCTGGAATTTTTTATACGGAAGCACAAAGGGGCTGGCCACCAGACCTCGAAGCCCGATTTTCGATTTTTGAATTAGAAAAATTTTAAAAAAATTATTTATAATTGATTAATGACGGTTTTTTTGACTCACTGATATTATTATTTGTTTTCAAATAACGTTCGATTGTAACAATTGATTTCTTTATTCTAGCGTTAGTTTGCTGTTTTGACGATACATTAAATCGATTAATTACAATTCATTTTCTTTTTGTAGCTTGTGGGGGGGGAAGAGAGAGAGACAGTCTACATGTCCTACACTACTATTCCTGCGCTATTCACTTATCTGCATTTTCTAAATGCACGGGCAACGCCGGGCGGGTACAGCTAGTAGGAAATAAAAATAAGTTCCTATAAAAAGATAACAGTATCTCACTAATTCTTTTAAAGTTGATCAATTTATTAGCACGTCCGCATTTATATCGCCACCCTTTCCGGGCTCATATTGCTCTATTTTCAATTAGAATTACTTTTTATGTTAGTTTGCTGTATTTAACAGCAGGTATCTTGTCTTCTTGTTGCTTTGATGTCCTTAATTTTCTACAGGATTTGAGAATATCTTCGTTTGATTTTAAATAACTCGTAATATATTGTTGCTAATTCTGTACTTAGATAAGTAATTTTAGTTGAATTATAAGTAAAATTGCTGCATTTCTTTTGTAACATGAAAAATCAAAAGCGAAGCTATACAAGAAAAGTAAGGATACATTGTAAGAATATTTCTGTAGGAAAATTCCAGAGTCCTGAAATATTTCTTTTGATAGAAAGTAAATTTTATTAACCTATAATCGGACTTGTGCATACAATCAATCTATTACGAACCCGTACTCACGCAACAATATTGTGCACTTAAATTGTAGGATATAATTTATTCTAACTAATTATTTTTAGTTTGACTTGTCCTGTCCTTCCTGATTTCAGTTTCCTGCTGGAATGTAAATTTTGTTGTGGCATAGTATTCAAATTTAAATGTGTTTCAGAAGTAGTATTTAAGCTGCGTGTTAAGAGTTCAAAAAGAGTAGTAGCCGACCTAGTTCCGATGTTCATGCTGCGAGTTAAAAATTGGCTCTCTAAGTTAGTGTTCGACACCTTTTCAGTTTATACTGATATTTCTGGACTCGGCTTTGCTGTGTGCAGTCGATTTAGCGTTAGCTTCAGCTATGGAGCCAGTCATTAGATATCTTAATTTACTAGTGATCTGTTACGTTCTTATTTTCTCTTAATTTACTTAGCCGCAACAAGTGGTGGTGATTTGTGAGCACAAAGTGCGTGCATTTATTTTTAATTTAGTTTTTTAAAAAAGGTTATTTAAACCTTTCTTCTGCACTATTTATTCATATAGAACTAGCGAGAATTCGCTACTTCGTCTTCGACGTAGAGTCAACGTTGTATCTTATCAAAGAATTCTCATAGACTCTATAACTGGCGCCCGAAACAGTTTAGGACAATGGACACCTGTACAAGTGACCTGGCCCTATCCACATCCACAGCACCGGTGACTCACGCCAAACTTATGGAAGGCTTTGGCTACATTGTCGAAACCATGAGAGCTTCCATGAAGCTCCAGGCCTATTTGATGGAAAAGGTTCAGCATCAGCATTTATGAACCTGCTGGAGGATCACTTCATTTTGTACCCAGTGGACGAAATCCCAAAAGTCGCATTTTCGACTTTATTCTCCGAAGACAAGCCTTGTATTGGTATAAAGGCAACGGCAAATTTTTACTTGAAGAACTAGGCATGCTAATATACACATATCAAAATTTCAAAACCGCCCTTCTAAAAGCCTTTCCAGTCGTAAATAATCGTGCGCGGTTAGAAGCCGAACTGTACAGCCGGAACCAGATGAATGGGGAAGATTTGACAAGCTTCATTCTACGTAAAATCCAAGCTGTGAAACTGCTCTATGGAAGAAAACCCGACGAGGAAGTAATTCAAATCATCTTGCCGAGATTACTCCCACCAACGTAAGACTTTATAGAAATAAGAAACGCGTCGATTTTAGAAATTTTATTTGAGCTGGCCACAAAATACGAAAACCACTGCATTTTAAACAAGGAACGTACGCAGATGCATCGGCAAAAGTACAAAAATTTCCGCACGCCGAAACCAGGCGAACGAAGGCAGCAGAAATTCAACGGCAAGAAAGAATTTTCGCCGAAGAGAATTGGATCCCAAAAAACAGATAAACAGTGGAAGGAAGAAACAAAACCCAAGGCGTTAAACTGCTGATGGGCGCTGGAAAAACTGGAGGTCAGCGGCTCCGGAAAGAGGAAATTTCCTCCCATATACATCTTAATACGGTGGTAGTTAAAAATGTAGAATTGCCAGAGGTACAAATTCTGTTAAACAACGTATCGCATTAATTGACACGGGAGCACGAAGAAGTTTTCTGAGGGAAAAACTAAGCAGAATTTCCGACGTTATAGGTAATACAACTCCGAAGGCTCAGCGGTGATTGCAGCCCAGGGAATAAGGTGCGCTTGCACTGGAAAGCTGCCACTATACGTGTAGGTAAAAGGTGAGCAATTAAAAGTTACTTTTTTTGTAGTTAAGGTATCCAACTACGTTCTAATCGTCAATTTTGAAGAAATTTTTCAAAAAATTTTTATTTCTTTAATTTAAAGCTTATATTTTTAGCTTCCAAAAACTATTTTTATTTTCTCTCTCCGGTGATTAGAAGTAGAGTTATGGCTGTTTTTGTTCTATACCATGAACCGAAAATTGCTGTTTCAAAGGCCGGAAGTTGCTGTTTAAATGGCCAGAAGTTGATGTTTAAGAGACACAGATTGCTCTAAACAAGAATATTTCAATTGAATACTCTTGGCGATATTCAAAAGATTATTTTGAAATATATGTATTATTATTATGTGCTTGGAAGTAAGATTACTTTCGAAATTCATTGTAACAAAAAATATTTTCACTTTATTATTGTAAACGTCGTAATGGGTCGGCGTGGAACTTTTCGTTCTAAAAAACTGCGATTTGCTGGAAACAGATATACTGTGAAAGCTTCTGCCAGTGAATCGAAACTAGGAAACAATAAAACATTTTCTGAAAAATTATAACGAAGCTAATAATGAAGCTAGTAATAGAATATTCGATGTTGAAATTCTAAAATCTGTATTTTCTGCATTATCTTGTCCAGTGTGTTTCGAAACTCAAAACAATAATGAGAGTTTTAATAACGCATCGTACCAAAACAAGTGTTTGTTGAGTTGACAACATTGTGTCTTAGTTCCTATATAGGAGTAATACAGTTTAATGATAGATTTTTGGGTATGTTAAAAATATTGGGAAACTTAATAGGAAACATGGACAATATACTGTCAAGGGATGTAACTGTATTGATAAAACTCGGATTATTGATTCAAAAAGGCATTCTTTGCATTAACGCAAAAATCACAAGAAAAAAATTAAGAGCTTCTTTAAAGAAAATCTTCTAAAATAGAGTTGATAGAAGGTGCAATATACAAAATAGGACACTTTTAGCAATGTAATATATCAATTTCTAATATATTTTCTAAAGATAAAACTTTAAATTTGTTTTTTGAAAAACTTGTTTTTGTCAACATTTCTAATACGAAAAACACCGTAACTTAAAATATTACTATAGCAATTTTATGATACTTCCCACAAATATTCTATAGAATATTGGGAATTAAATGGACTAAAAGTTTAGGTTTACATACGTATTTAAGATTTTTGCAGACCATTTTGTAAATGAAGAGATAAAAATTTCTCGAAAAATAGCTAGTGTATGTACTCAAAGCAGTTATATTTATTAGACATTTTGCTTTATGACTTAGATTTTAGTCCATTTTCATTCCTTATGCTTTACTAAATATAAGTGAAAAAATAAAAGTAAAATGTTGATAAATAATTTTTGAGGGAACTAATCTCGTGATACTGAAATTTAAATACATTTTTGATCCAAAATGTGATTAAGAAAAAAGTAAAAATTATATTTTAATAAATATGTTTATAAACTGTTTCTGTCATTTTAGGTAGCATTCTGCTAATTAACACCAAAAATGAATTTATTTGTACACTTTTTCAAAATTAGGGTATCGAACGTAGTCGGATACCTTAAAAATTTGCAAGCTAATGTCATTTTAGATGTAGATTTCCTCAAGTCAGCAGAAGCAAGAATAAATTTTTAAGAGACGCCATCACGCTGGACATGGTGAAGAAGAAATCTGAGGAAGTATAAGCAGCATAAGGCCACTGTAAAAAATAATAGAAAAAATGTGCAAGTCAAGGGACCAGGGAACATGGAGGTAGGAAAGGGAGGAGGGGCCATTCCGCGCTAGAAGTGAAGCACTGCTTT